TATTATATTTCTGGAAAATTTAAGGGGTAGTTATATAATAATTTTGGATGATCTCGGGCGGTCGGATACTTATGACCGCTACTGTACTTATCTTCACAAATCAAAAGTTGTAAAGAAATTTCATACGAAAAATAATTTACACATATTTTCTTAGCCTGCTTAAAATCCAGACCTTAATCAATTAAGAATATGTGAGTTGATATCAAGAAAAGCATTTGTGAAAGGAAAAAATAGCCTTTCAACCTTGCTGTACTTAACTAATATATTAAGAAGGCATGGTGAGAAATTTCTATACATACTATCAAAAATTTGGTCGATAGTATACCATAGCAAATTTAGGCTGTAATTGAAGTAAAAAGAGATCTGACTAAGTACTAGTTGCTTAGTACATAATGTAGAGTAAATCTTACTTAAATAAAAATATTATTAAACTTTTTTTGGTTAAACTTTAAAATTTTTGTTTTTCATATTGATCCAAAAAGTGTTCAAAGACTTTTAGTGACCCTCTATATTATATTTAGTAATAATATTTACTTTACGTCTTATAAATTCTACAATACTATTATTTTGTTAAGAAAGTGAATATCTACTAGAAAAAGAATTGCATCTGAATTTATAATGTCTATCATAGAATTTATTAACTTTATAAGTTAAAGACAAGTTATATGATCTAGATAGAACTCTCATTTTTCTATAAAATTTAAATTTGTTATAATAAATTAAAGATTTACAAGTTTTTAAAAATTCTTTTTTATTGAAAAACATAATGTATACAATTAAGTTATAGAAGTAACAAGTTCTACTGCTATATAGTCTGAGGATATCAAAAGTTTGTATTGCTATAAGCTTAGCTGGAAAACTTTTAAATTTTATAATATGTTTATTTTTATTTTTTAAATTATCTAACGTAATATTTATTGAATTAATTCTAATATAATAAAATAATATATTAATGATCTAAAAGTTATTAAAAGCAAATTTCTTTTTATCATATAGATATTTAAAGATGACGAAAATATTTCTTAGATTATTAATTAAATATTTATATTCATCTTCTATTAAAGCAATTAAACTAAATGTAGATATTCTTTTAGAAATGATATCTTTAGAAATGTACTATAAAATTTTCAACATTTTATATTTTTCTCACTTATTTTTCTTAGTTAAAAATGAATGAGAGAAGTTATTAATAGAAAGAGTAGAATAGAAAAGGTTGACTAATTTAACCATATCTATTAGTAAATCTATTAAATTAATTTATATAATTATATTATTATTACTATTTCTAAATTACCAGTTAATATTTAGAAAATCAGAAAAAGATTTTATGATATTTTCTAATAAATTTTTATTTTATTTTTTGATATTTAATAAATTGAATTAAAAATTAAATATTATATTATAAATTAAAATAATTAATTTTATATTATTTAAATAATTATCAAAAAATTAAATAAAATTATTTATAGTTATAATATTATTATTAGTAGTAATTTCATTTTTGATAATACTTATATTATTATTTTTTTTTAGATATTAATCATATAAATTAAATAAAATTTAAGTATAAATATTTGAAACTTTTGCTTTTATTAAAAAATTTAGTTTTTTATAATTTAAATATAAAAAAAATAAAATAGATAAAAATTATTTAAAATTAAAATAAATTTCTTATTTGTATTAGTAATAGTTTAATTTTAATAATAATTTTAATTTTAATAGTAGCATTATTAACATTATTAATAGTAGTAATAGTATTAACGATAATGATAATATTATATAAAAGAAAATATTGATGATAATGATTTAGATAATGATGATCCAAAAGAAATCATAAATGTCATAAATATCATCTAGGTCATTTGGATCATTTATATTATTTATCTTATTTATTACTTCTATTTTATTTATTCTTTTATATATTTTATTTTATATATTATATTTATTTTATTTAATATTTTTATTTCTTTATTTTATCAATAATTTTATGTATTTTATTTTATATAAATAGAAAAGATTTTTTTTTAGCTTAGTAAATGCTTTGTATTTTGTATCAGAATAAGAATTTCTTTAGATAATTTACTTTAATTTTTCTAATACATTTGCATAGTACAGAATATCAACTGAGATAATACTCATTTGTTATAATTGTTAAATAAATTGTTTACTATTACTTCTAAATCAATTATAAAATCAATCTTCTGCTTACCATTTGAAATTATCATACTGCTTATTACTTATAAGCACTTTAAAAAACTGACTGTAATAATAATATTAACATCAGTATTATTAGTATTAATAATGATAATAATGATAATATTAGTAATAATATTATTATTGATATTGATAGTTATGATATTAGTAATATTAGTAATGATATTAATAGAATATAAATAAAAAATAAAGATATAAAAAATATATTTTAAAAAAATATTACTTTTTATATTTTATTAACAAAAAAATTTTATTTAATATATTAATAAATTATAATTTTTAAAAAAATATTTTTTGATTTAACTAATTCAATTAAAATTATTTTATTAAATATTTTCATTTTTTACATTATCATCAATTGTTCTTTTAAATTTTTGAAATTTAGTTACACCTAATAAAGAAATACAAACCTTGTATTTTGATCTAATTTTATTTAATAATTCTATAAATTCAATATTTTGTTGATTTTCTTTTGGAAATAATGAAATTATTTCTCTTAATGATATTAATTGTTTCACTATTCTACAAGTTTAACAATAATAAAATTGAGTTATTTTATAGGTAATAGAAGGATGATGATAAAATAAAATTTGAATACCTTTCATTTATTGACTTTTTAGTTATATCCCATCTTTTATCAACAAGTATTTTTAACCACATTTCAGCTACACCATCATAAAATCCAATTTCTTGTGATATTTCATAACCTTTTTCACAACCTAGTAAATGACCTTCAAATTTTCCTGATTTTATTCCTTCTTTTATTCCATCTTCTCTACCAAACTCTATAAACCTATAAAATGACATAAAAGGAGTTAAAATATAAAAGAAATTAATGGGTTTTTAATACTTTGGCGACAAACTTACATGGATTCGATATTAACTATATCATCAAGATCTAATTCATTCTTCAATTCAGTCTTCAGTTGTTGTTCCATGAAGGTAGGAGGTTCGTATGACGATCTTCAAAAACACACCGTATATGGCAATTTAATATAAATAATTTAAAAAAATTTAAATTTTATTTTTCACTTTTTTTTTTTGACTACAAAAAATTATGTCGGGAATTCCATCAGGTGCAATGTTAAATATCGATCAAATTGAAGTTGTTAGGTCAAGAATGATACAAGTTAATGGTGCTCAAGCTGAATTTTTAGAATTTCTAGCTACTGCAGAAGAACCTAATTCAATAAGTTGGTAAGTTAGTAGCGTAAAAACTAAAAACATTTATTTTTTTTTGGATTCTTTTTTTTTAATTTATATACTTTATGACCATTCTACAATTTTATGTTTATACTAAGGGTTGATTATTTGAATAGATTTAATATATTTTTATCAAAACATACTGGTCTATCAAATACTTTTATCGATTCAAATTTACGTAAAAACATTTTACACCCAAAAGATGCTCCTCCTGTTGAATTGGAACAAATTTTTAATACATTATTACGTACAAAACAAAAACCCGAAATTGAAAATTTAGAAGAAGAAATTAAACACGAGATTTCTTCACAGGAAAATTTATTAAATCTAGAATTAGAAACTAAAAAGAATGATGACGATAATAAATGGGATAAATTATTTGACGAGTGGGATAGAAGATATAAAGAACATGACTTTATTGCTACTACTGCTGCTGAAATTTGTGAAAATATTTTAGGTGATATTAATCATAAAAAAAGATTAGATGATAATATTGGTTTAGATAAAAGTGATGATGCGGAGAATATTGATATTAAACAAGATTTAACCATGGAAAAAATTCTCGTATTCATGTCAAGTGGTAAATCATATTAGATTTAATTAAATAAATTTTGTGATAAAAATAATAAAAATAGTTAATGAAATTATATCAAGGGAATTTATTATCGTTATTAATTAATTAATTATAAATTATTACTGTGATTATGATTTATAAGTTTTTTTTTTTTTATTTACATGCAGGAAGTCTAAAGCAAATATATTATATATTGTATATACAAAAATTTGATGCATGACGTTTACACTAAAGTCTCTAGGTGCGATTCAAAGGAACTCGTTTTCGAACATTTTCATCAATCCATTTCATTATTTTTTCAAAGTTGACATTGACGGGACTCGTAAACCCCGATGACAACATCTCAACCTTTTTGAGCCCTGCTTCCTGCTTAATGAAATCTTGCCCAAATGCTTGCCATATGGGCATCATCTCGGGTTTAAGAGATTGATATTCTTTTAGGTTAGTGAGATCAGACGCAAAGAAATAAGAATCATCATCAGTCTGTATAAAACTGATATCCATTCCACACCAAGTTTTTTGTCCGTTTGGTGGGATGCTGTAATAACATTTATAACTAGCTGGTAAATTTTTTCAAATTTAATGTAAGCTTTAAATAACAGAAAAGTTTTTATATACCTGTAGCCCCAGATAAGGTGGAACTTGATCGCACCTTTGGGAATTACTTGTAGTTCACAGGAATAATTGTCCTTTGTTGAAAGACTATCGAGGACTTGAACTACGGAAGGGATAATTCTCAAACTCTATATAAACCAACGTAATCAAGTAACAATTAATATTATATATCATAGATAATAATAAAAGGTGTATAAATAATTTACTTACATCGATAAATCTGTTGAAGTTATGAACATACGAAGAATTTAACTCCTCTTGTAAGAATGCAAATAACTTGTCCTTGTGTGGATTATATGAGCCATTTTTTGTATAATATTCTGTCGCGAGATCGTGTAAAATCAAAGTGTATTCATTACTACGCCAGCTTATATCGGCGCCATACTATTATTACAAGAGAAATCATAAATAAATATACAATTTTAAAGGCATTGAAAAATATTTATATTATTTACCGGAAAATACTGTAATTTAAGCGTATCAAAATCAAAGTTGAGTATATTAATATCAGATCTTTTCTTATCACCCAATATACGCTTACACTCGCAGGCTGCCTGTGTCACCATAACGATCTCTTCAAAATTTTCAAGGAATGTATCCACAAAGTTCTTCATGCTATTATAATCATATCTGAAAGTTAAAATTCCTGATGGCTGATCGTAGGTAATATTGGCTATCATATTTAAAGTAGAAGAAGAAAAGGTGTTAAAGAGTATATTTTAAAATCACATTAATTCTTATGGTAAAGCATATAAAATGAAATTACTAACTATGTAAGAACACATCAACCATCCTCGGTAAATATCTAGATTGCAGACAAGTAGTTAAAATTACCTAATGCAAGGAAAAGACTGTTGTTAGATCCCCAAATTTTATAAATAATAATAGAAAAATATCAATAAACTTGCCTCTGGATTGGTTGTTTTTGTTAAACGTGCACCGGCAAGACGTACAAAAACGTCACTGAATATATTCAAGCAAAAATCATTTGCCCTAGGAAATCTTGCCAACAAGGACCTTATGTTAATCTTGAAAGTAGGTATTGTAGTGGACAGCGATAAAGGAGCGTTCGAGTCGAGAAAATTCAATGACTTATTGATTTCTTTATCAAAATCAACCTCAGGTGACAAACGCTTAATGGTCTTTATTTGTTCATTGATTCTGACTGGTTCTAATTTTACTTCTTTTTCATTAAAACAAACTTCTACTTTCTCGTAATCTATGCGGGCTCTTTTAATTTACAACAATAATGACATTAATAAGTATAATTAACAAAGATGTATCCAATTGTGATAGATATATACATACCGAGCTATTGCCACAATTCTTGCAAGTAAAAGTTCTTCAACCGCAGACCTAAATAAGGTTATTGGAAAGTTAGATAATCGTTCCGTATTAGTAACGATAAATAAATTAAAACTGTTTCATATTAAACCATACGTGTCAAAATTTGTTTCCGATATTTCAAATGTCCTTTTTGTTGATCGCGGTAGCGATGAAACTATTTCATCTTCGTTCATCTTATCAAAACTCCGCTTACGAGTATGACCAGATAAATTCGAATATCTCGGGCATTGTCGAGATGGTTTTTTTAAGAGATCAACTAATTTTGATTTTTTATCAAATAACGTATTTCCTAATCGAATCGTTTGAATTGAAGTTATTCGATGCGTTGGCTCCTTAATGGTAGGGTCGAGATAATATTTTTTTGTTGGAGGCAGACGACTTTATCATTTGAAAAGATAGAGATATGTATATTTATATATTAATCTAACATCAGATAAAATAACGGAATTTAAAAAATTTTAAATACCTAAAGGTGGCCAGATTATATACTATACCATTTGCCACCATTCCTGCAATAAGATAATACCCTTTATCAGGAATAACCTTATGCGAATGCATTTTACCAAAGTCTTTAACGTCATAAAATTCCAAGATTAAATGTTGATTTGTATATAACTTGCTTCTTTCGTCTGGGTCTAAAATAATTTCTCGAGGAACATCAAGGAAAAGTTTTCTAGCCGTTGATTCAAGTCGAGGAATCATTACAACAAATCTCAACATTATAAGTATCTCAATGAGACAATTGTGATCGTAGCTAAGTCGGTTCATACAACATTTAAGTTTATCTAAAAATATAAATAATATAAGAAAATGATAAACAATAAAATTTTCACTAGAAATCCTTAATAAATTAAATAATTAAATTTTTACCATGTTCTATTCCTTGATTCTCATCTTCAATAAAGATCCTGCCGCTACGAGTATCAATGCCGATTTTAATATAATAATTTTTTGAATCGCCACATAATCTTATGCGCAACTTTGGTAAATTTAAGTATTTTCTTGCCACTTCATCTGAGAAAGATGATTCCGTTGAAACTGATTCAGAAACCGATTCTATGAATAAAGAAACGTATTGATTTATGAATTAACTATAATCATCATGTCATTCTTGAACGGAATACTAACCATTATTTTCGTTGACGATTTCAAAGTCATCTTCAGTGTATACTCCCGCTTCATCATTTTTCAAAATCTCGACGAATTTATCTATAATTGACTCAGCGTGTTGCTGTGTGATGAACAACATTAAATGTTCAATGTTTAAATTGGTTGGATCCTACATAATATTCAAGACAGCAATTAATGATAAAATTTTCAGAATATTTTATGCAAAAAATATTAAATTTAAAAACAAAAAATGGTTACAAATTTCCAATCAACAACTATCCATTCATTAGCTTCATAACCTTTCAAACCAGTCCAACGAACACGTAAAACTTTATGCGGATAATTAATCCCGCGAGTATCGTTCAAAGTTCCAAGCTTCACATACTTTGTATCAGTATACCAATGTGCTCCTTTAAGAATTTTATTGGCCGAATAAAGTAAAGGGCGATCAGATTCTTCAGTTATCACAGAGATTTCAATAATATCGTGATTTTTAACCTCAGAAGACTTTGAAGTCGACGCTTGTGGGACATTTGGACGTGCTGTTTATGAATTAAAAAAGTTAATATGATGATTTAATGAATATAGTTAATATAATTAATACAAGAGTTAATAATTACGAACCTGGCGGAGGATGCTTAACAGAACTTTAAGGAAAAGATTTGCTATAAGTTAATTTAGCCTGAGGAGAATAATAATAAATATAGTAACAACACATTTGAATCATTTACCTCCAATAATATATCCTCAAAACGCTTTCGTCTTCATTCATTAACATTTCAAAATTATTAGTCCATCTCGTTTGTTGCATATTAACTGCCTATTAAAATCAAACATAAAATTAGATTATAAATTACATTAAAAGAATTGCAATAAATATTACCTGTTGAAGCAATATATTAAGTTGAAGATGTAAACAGTAATTGTCTGGTATAACATAATAGTCAAGGATACTTATTATAAATACATTGTAACAATTTGAATTGAAATAAAATAAGGATACGTAAATATTCATATAAATTGACCAAAGGACAGAATTTAGCTGTCTGCAGTGAAGCAGGTACCTCTGATGTCTCGGAAATTGCTGGATGTCTCATACTGCTCGTAATTCTTTCTGGAATGGGCTTCTGTGGTGGAGACAAAAACTGAGTTTGAATCGTTCTCATTAACCTCAATAGTTGATCTTCATGAAATGTGAACTTCACGTCTAAAGATTTTGGGAGAACAAGAAATTTTGTAAATTTAATGTAATTTTGATATTATGAACAAAATATTAATTTATACCATTGAATGTTCTGTCACTCGATGATTGGATGAGAAGTTTCAGATCGACCATCCACCAACGTTCATTAATTTCCATAATATTATAAAGCGTCAAAACCACCTTAAAATGTGATCAATACAGGTTAGTTTATTTTTAAGAATCACGACAAAGGTCCTTCAAGGTATTACCTCAAATTCTTTATCAACTAAGAATTTTATTTTTCCGTCCGAAATGCTATAGTTTCTCATACACTCTGGTATTATTTCTTGTGTTAACATGCGTATTTGGATGATACCATTTAAAGCTTCTAATGTCTCTTTAGCTTCGTCGTCGTTCAGAATGTCAGGCGCAAAACGCTCCTATATCATGAAAAAAAGTTTTTTTTTTTAGATTTTTGTTAAAAAGAAAACAATAAATCGCTTATAAATACCTTGATTATACTTGGAAATCTCTTATAAGTTCCCTCCTTAAGCACATCAGACGCATTAATGACGTCTGGTGACCGTAGACTAGATTACAAATACAAGTATTTAAGGACATAATGATCTTTTTAAAAAGGCATATAATGAATCTCTATTACTACTTGATTATTACCTAGAACTGGGCATAAAAAAACTCCAATCGTGCATATTTCTCTCAACCTGAACACTTATATTTTTTTGGCTCTGTACGGCCTCGTAATGTAACTATTTTTTCATTAAAGAATGAAAGTATTATAAATAATTCAAATAAAGCAAAGCTCATTAATTAACAAGTCGATATAGTTCTATAAATAATGGGCTTCTTATAAAGATTTAAAAATATATCAATTAAATTATCTAGATAATTACCTCATAGTCGCGTACTAAGTCAGCCTTTTCGGACCAGGAGACCAAAGTTTTTAATTTTAACCAATTACTACGTTGTGGTAATAAGTAGCTAATCATGAAAGCTTTTCTACGGTCTGTATCGGGCTCTGATATTCTATGTAACAAAGATAAAATAAATTCTTTAGGCGCCAGATATAAAATTGAATTCATAAAACCTTAATTACTTACGGCTTGTGAATGAATGTAGCTAATCTGTCGTAAGCATCGCAATTAACGGCGTCCACCACCTCAGTTAAAGGTTTCCAATGTTGCAGTTTTGCAGAGTGAGACCGCGAGATCTCTATATTATTTGAATTATCCATGATAAATTAAGTTATTTAGTGATTAATTTATAAGTTTAAGAGAGAAAATTGTGTAAGATTGATTTCGTAAAGCGAATTTCGTTAAAAAACGGTATTGCGAAAACAAGTATGGTACCGGTATATGTATTTATCACGTGTACCATGCCTCGAGAAGACGGTGCCAATTGATGACCAATCAAAATCGTGAATTTTGAAAAACAAAAATGACGAGTAAATCATAGATAGGCATTAGAATGTATGTAAATTGGTAAATATATATCATATATATAACGAAAATTTACAATATGATATACTTTTATATAAATATTCTATTACCTTTATATTATCTATTACCTATTTTATATTATTTAAATCATTAATCATATTTTATTATTTTTACTAACAGACTTCTTTTTATTTACTACAAATTTTCAATCTTATTATTGTTGTATTAACATTTTTTATAACTTTATTTTGAAAATAATTTAACATTTAAATTAATATATTTGCAGATAATAATTATAATATATAAAGTAGTAATATTAGGTTTTTTAAAAGTAATAAAATTCTTTAAAAGTTACTGATTAATTAATTTATAATTTAAAAAAAAAAGTATTAATATATTAGAAAAAGAAAATATATAGTCAAACCTTTTTATATATACCTTTAGTAATATTGAATTTTATACATATTTTTGATATTAAATATTTAGACAAGGTTTAGATATAAAAATATATCAATAATTTGTCAAAAACTATTCAAAACTATTCAAAGTTGTCTAATTTTCTAATAATGCATTCAGGATTAAGAATAAAAGTGCATTTAGAGATATATATATTAACAGAAAATATACATTTTAATAATATAATAACTATAATTTTATTTTATCACTAGTTGAAATAATTCAAATTAGCTAGAAATCAGATGCTTAAATTTAGGCTGAATTTAATACTATTTACATCAAATTAATCATACAGTCAACTCTTGTTATAGCGAACTCTTGATATAACGAATTTTTTGAACAAATATAATAAAAATACTCTTGTTATAGCGAATTGGCCAATCAAATCTCTTAAAATCTTCACTATAGCCTTATAGCGAAGTTGGGGTCTAGGACATAGAGTTCGTTATAACAAGAGTTGACTGTATTTCTTAATTATCTAAATTAATACTTATTGCCTCCAATCAGACAAAATAATTCAGCATTAATTCAAAATTAAAATAATCATAAATCAACCTAAAATTAATCTTAATTTAGCATTAATTTAGTCAAGTAAACATATAAAATCAGTAAATTGAATTTATTAAATATTAAAATTTATTAATAATAAAAATCTAATATAAATTTGCAAAAACATAAAAAAATATTACCAAATCTCACTAATTAATTTCCTATTAAATAAATAAGCCAAAAATAATAAAATAATAAAAATATAATCTATTTCCTCTTAAAATTTCTTGAAATCATCCTAAATATTTATTATTATAATATTATTATTATTATAAAAAATAATAAAATAATAAAATTACATTTTATTTTTCTTTTAAAATTCTTTAAAATCATTCATAAATATAAAAAATTATTTAAAAAGTTAACTGATTGATTAATAAAGTTAACTTATATTTTAGCTTTTTTTTTCATCTAATTTTAATAGTTAGAGACAATTTTATGATTTTATTTCTATTATAAAAAGTAAAAAATCAGTTTATTATTTAAAAATTAATTAGTTAATTAATAAATTCAAACTTAAATTTCAGCTTTTTTTTTTATCTAATTTTGATAATTTGAGATAATTTTATAATTTTATTCTATTATCTAATTTTAATATTTAAAGATATTTTTGTAATTTTATTTTTATTTTAAAAAGTAAAAATCAGTTTATTATTTGAAAAATTAACTAATTTATTGATAAAATTTAACTTATATTCTTTTATTTTTAGGTTAATTTTTTGTTAATATTTTGATAATATATAAACAAAAAAAATTTAAAAAAGAAATTTGATTATAAAAAGATAAAATTTGAGTTAAAATTATTTTTTATAAAGTAAAAAATTAAGTTTATTTATATAATATTCTTATATATACCAAAAATAATCTCAAATAATATATTAAATAATATATAAATTTAAAGTTAATTTATTAAAATAATTTATTATAACAATATCAATAAAAATCATTATTATAAATAATTCCATTTCAATAAGTTTTTAAAATATTTGATATTATTTTAATAAAGAAATATCAAATTATAAAATATTAATTTTTATTTAAAAAATTTATTAAACTATTAAATTTTAATTTAATGAAATATAAAAGAATATACAGTTATCTTTTCAACTGTTTTACTTACAAATTTGTAAGCAATTTTATATATTAATTACAATCATTTTTAATTATTTTAAATATTTTAAAATATATTATTAAAAAAAAATAATAAATTTTATAATGTTTTCTAAATAAAAATTAAAAAAAAATAATGTAATTAACTAGTAATTTTTTAAGATAAATAAATAATAAATTATTATAAAAAAATTAAATTTAAACTTATATATTCTGCTATTTATTAATATCAGAAATATAAAAATATTATCATTTAATAAATCTTAATATGATAAATCTAATAAACTAAATTTTATATTTTTATAATTATTAAATAATAAATTATTTAAAAATTAAAAAATTAAAAAATTAATATACAGAGGACCACCAAAAGTCTCTGAACACCATTTTTTAGATATGATTTTATGCCGTTAACATCATGTGACTTAATAATACTGCAGTCATATGATATTTTGGACCTTGTTTACATGAATTAAATATAATAAATGCGTGTCCAGTTTGTTTATTTTGATTTTGAATTAAAATAAACTTTAATCCCAAAAATACCTAAATAATGTCTAAAAAATTAACTGTAAAACAACGCGGTGCTATATTTTTTTGCTGTCAACGTGATAATAGTTACCAAACTATTACCACGATAGTCAGATGTGGTGTGTCAATAGTATTTGACACTTTAAAAAGAATGGATGACACCGGAACAACTAATTTGAGGCCTCGCTCTAGCTGACTATTCTTTCTTGAATCTTTATAACAAAACCAGCTTAAGAAATTTGTAACTAATAATAATGGAAAGAACTATCGCTTATATACTCCAGAAATTCAACAATTCTGAAATAAAAAGACTGGCCAAGTTATTTCAACTCGCACTATTGGTTGTGCACTTTGTGCAGTTAGATTAAATAATTGTATTACTTGACACAAACTTCTAATCTTATTAGTAAATATGGAGGCACATCTTGCATGATGCTTAAAACATCAAAGTTGGACAAAGGACAATTGGTCAAAAGTTCTGTGAAGTGACGAGTCGACCTTTTCTCAATTTTAACAATCTCAGTGCAGTAGAGTTTGGCGAAAACCTAGTGAAGAATACAACATTTCTTGTGTTTCTGCAACAGTAAAGCATAGTCCAAGTTAAATGTTTTGGGAATGCTTTTTGAGATAAGGTGTAGGACCTATTGTTCCATTATTTGGAATAGCAACCAGTACCTCACATATTACTATCCTTCAAAGGTTTGTCATGTGAACCATGAGGTGTGTATTTCCAAATGGTGATGGTTGGTTTCAGAAGGATAACGCTCGTCCACACACATTGAAAGTTGCGAAGAAATTTCACACAAAAAATGGCTTGCACAAACTTTCTTGGCTGGCTCAAAGTCCAGACCTCAATCTTATTGAAAACCTGTAAGCAGATGTTAAGAAAAGCATTCATGAAAGGAAAAAAATGCCTTCCAATATTGCTGAACTCGAATAACATGTTAACAAGGCATGGAGAAAAATTCTGATACAAACTATTAAAAATTTAGTCAATAGTATGCTACAGTGAATTCAAGCTGTGATTAAAGCAAAGGGAGGCCCAACTAAGTATTAATTACTTAATATAAAACTTAGCGAATATCTTATTTTAATAAAAATATTAATAAACTTTTTTTATTCATATTATAAAATTTTAAGTTTTTTAATGAGCCAAAAAGTGTTTGGAGACTTTTGGCGGCCCTCTGTATATTGATAATTATGAATTTTAAAAGTTTAATAATACTACTATTATATGATAAATCTAAAAATTTTATTTTATTTTTTTATAATCATTAGATATCAAAATATTATAAGTTTTCTAAAATGTTTTAGAAATAATTTTATACTTATAGTTTAAGGAATAATACTTTAAATAGTTTAGATTAATCTAAAAATTTTGAATGAAATGATCAAAATTATTATTCTAAATAAATAATAAAAAAATATTTGATTAAAATGATAAATATTATTTTAAATAAATGATAAATAAATATTTAATTGAAGTAATAAAATATTATTTTTAAAGAATGATAAAGTATTATTTAATTCAAATGATTAAAATCATTATTTCAAATAAATAATAAAAGAATTATTTAATTAAAACTATTAAAATTATTATTTTAAAGAATGATAAAAAATCATTTGATTGAAATGATAAAATATTATTTTAAATAAATAATAAAAGAATTATTCAATTAGAATAATCAAAATTATCATTTTAAAAGAATAATAAAAGAATTATTTAATTAAAATAATTTAAATTATTATTATAAATAAATAATAAAATATTATTTAATTAGAATAATAAAAATATCATTTCAAAAATAGTAAAATATTGTTCAATTAAAATAATAAAACATCATTTTAAATAAATAAAATAAATATATTCATTTAAAATAATCAAAATAATCATTCTAAATAAATAATAAATATTATTAATTTTGAAATAATCAAAATTATTATTTTAAACAGATGATAAAGAATTATTCTTTTAAAATGATAAAACATTGTTTTAAATAAATGATAAAAGAATTATTAAATTAAAATTATAAAATATTATTTCAAATGAATAATAATAGAACTGTTTAATTAAATATATTAGTTAATATTTATCGTTATATTATACAAACTTATTAATTTTAATTTAAATTTTTATGCAATTTAAAATTACATAACTTCAAAATATTAAAGTTTATATTTTTCTAACAAATTATAATTAATATAACTAATATATAATTGTCTGTTTGTTTTAATATAATTATTTTTTATTTTTAAAAATATTAGTTTAACTTTTATAAATATTATAAAAAATGATAATATTTTAATATAAATTTGAAAAATTCTTTATTAAACTAGTTTTTTATAAAAATTTTATATGTAAATATTTAAATATTTATAAAATAATTTATAATCTAAAATTATTAGAATTTGAATTATTAAAATCAGCTTATAATTCTTTTATATATTTAACTTTTGTTTCAATTAGATTATTTATTTAAAGCAATTTTAAAGTAATGTAACGAAAACTTTGAGCAAAAGATTGACTTAAATTTTCTTCAATATAACAACTTGAAAAAGGTAAATAATACTAAAAAATCATTCATTTGGTAAAAGTTCTATTATCTTTTTAATTCCTCTTTCTAAATTATTAAAAAGATTACCAAATTCTTTAGCATTTAAAAAATTAAGAGTTTTTAAGAATTTATCTATAAAGAAAATATCAACATTATTATTTAAATTATTTAAATATTTAATCCATTCTGTAACTTTGTCTGATATTTTATATGCATAATGGCCTGAAAGTAATTTTTCACAATAATTTTTATAATAAATTTATTCAATTGAATTTTATCTTACAATGAATTACATTAAAGACTTGTAAAAATATTTTTAAATTATTACTAAACATTTGACTTGTATTGTAAGTTTTGAATTTTATAATTATTCTAAAAAGTATCTATTTAGCAATATATATTTTAGAAATTTTTGAAGAGTTTTAAAAGTTTGGATAAATCAATTTCTAAATTCTAGATGATAATAATAATGCTTTAAATATTGTTGTTTAAAAGTAATTTATATCTTCAATGCTTCTGAATAGATCTTTAATATTGATTAAAAGAAAATTCAAAATATTAGTTATAATGATCCTGAATTTTTTGTGTTGTTATATCATAAGATATATCTTTATCAGTTGAATTACATTCATTATGCAGTTCTATACTAGATAGCAGATGTTTATAAATAAGCAACTTTTATAAAATATATATTTTGATAATAATTTTTCAAATGTAATTTGTTTAAAGTTATTATAAACAATATGTATTATATGCAACTTATATTTAATTCATATAACATTAGAATTTGTTTCTTTGTTAAAAAATGCAATTACTTTATTTTGATTACCTAACATATAAGCTGTATTGTCCATTAACCATATTAAACATTTTTAGTATCAATATAAGCATTCTCAAGTATTTTTTGAATAACTTATGATACTGTTTTACCATCATATTTATCAATATAGTCGCAGGTAATTTCATAATATAATTATATCATGAAGTTACCTGCGACTTATATTAGGTTATGAAGGTAACTTCATAGTCTGCTAGTAGCTTCATAATATAGTGGTAACTTCATAGTCTGCTGGTAGCTTCATAATATAGTGGTAACTTCATATTCTACTAATATCTTCATAATATAGTGGTAACTTCATAGTCTGCTGGTAATTTCATAATTTAATTACATAATCTGGTGGTAATTTCATAACTTAATAACACAATCTGATAGTAACTTCATAACCTGCATACAGATATCTCCTTTGTGTTTATAATGTTATTTTAACTTTTTCTTGTATATTATGGCGGTAACTTCATAGTCTAATAGTAGATGTAGTGCTTTAATTTAATGGTGATGTCATGATCTAATGGTGATTGTTTTTTTCTTGTTCCTGATTCGTTTAGATAATAAATTCTATATTGTTGATACTGGCTTTCTGTAGCTGTTTAGATATCTGGTTTTATATTGAGAATACGGGCCTCCTGCATCTGATTGGATGTCAAATTCTATATTAAAGTACTTACCTTTTGTGCCTATTTGGTTGCTCGCCAGAATGTTGAAATATGGTAAAAAAAATTCTAAGTTATCACGTGATATAAAAACCATTACAGTGTATAACAGTTTTTTAAAAAATATTGGGTATGCCGTAAACGTACTAAGCTTGGTTACCAGGTTGGTGACCCTCGTGAAATATTTAATAAATACATTCATTTTATAAATGATCACAAATTGAAGCACTAAATTGAGAACTCTGTTAACAGTGTTAACGATCAGAGCACTTCGGAAAATATATCACAATAGTTATATTTGTCACTAGTATCTTAAGTTAGTATTCAGAACTAGTGGCACATTTGTTATCTTTCTTAGGATTATTAGGCTTTTTCCATTATTTTATATAAAGATTACGAAGAAAACTTCACTTTCAGTTGCACATCCACTTGCCTTTTATTTATGATTTGTCTTCTAGCTTGTTATATATCTCTTTTTCATCCTTCGTATCTCTTTTTGGTATACCTCTAGGTTAGAGAATTAGTGGTGTAGTTTGCAATACTATGGCCAGCCTATTTATTACCAGGAAGTGCGCATATTGTGATCCAATTATTGCATCAATATAAGTAGCCGATTTCATTCTAAAAAATTCTGTCCAAGTTACTAGGACGGATTTTTTCACATTGTGCTGTCCCTAGGGCAACATGTATTCGTATTTTTGAGATGGAATTTGTTCTAAAAATTCCGTCTTAGTTATCTTGGTTGTTATAGGAACTAGAACGGGAACTAGGACGGATTCTGATATAGGAAAAAAGCTTCTTTCTTTAATCTAACTTGTTCTTATATAGTATGTCCTAGTTGTTATAGTTGTTCTAGTAAAAAGTAAAGTTCTAGAAAAAACTGATTTTTTTTTCTATGTTATGCATAAACTTATCATGTGATGCAAAACCTGTGAATTCCACACTTTTTCTGAAAATTCGAAATTCCGTCCTATATATAAAAAAAAATAAAAAAGTTTGGGAACTTGCATTTTTTCTAGGACAACTATGACAACTAGGATGGCTATTCAAATTCTCTTTAGTTCAGTTCAACAATATCATTTAGCTATAATTTTCCGTCTTGGTTTCCGTCCTAGCTCATCCCAGTAAACTTAGACAGATTTTTCTAGTAACATGATCCCTTTGGAATCCATTAATGCCAAGTTGTATTATTTTGTTTACCTCTAAATTACCTATCAGTAACTACGCTGAAGCCATCTTAGCCAGCTTTTTCTGATGATAATGTTTCTTTGATCTATGTTTTTTTGCATGTGTATCGCAATAGTCATATCCAGATCTTGTCAGCTCACCGCATTCTTTACAAGGAACTTGCCTAGAATTCTGATGAACTTTATATCCCTTTGGATCATAGCATCTTCGATTGCACGCTTTTCCAGTTCTAAGAATATATAGACAATTATAAAAATGCCAGGATGTTACCTTTTTTTCGCCTCCCATTTGTATATATCTATTAATAATGTCGGGGAATTAATTTCATTTTAAACTTTTTTTTGCGAATAATATACCTCGAGTTTTGGTATAACTATAATTCTTTTAGAAAAAAAATGATCCAATTTGAGCTTTCAGAGTCCCTCGACGCGTCCGCCTTGCTTTTTTACCCAAAGGCTGAAAAAGATAAAATGAAAGCCCAAGTAATTCGCTATTCTGGTAAAAAATACTTGTCGGACTTCCCAACTCTGAATGATATAGTTGCAGAAATAATGAGGGATTAATGACAATTCTTGAAGATACTCTATCTAAATAACAAGATATTCCTTTCATGGCTATTGATAATAAAGGATTAACTGAAAGGATAGATGGAACATATCGCTATATATTGCGTCTTTATGGTCACCTTATTAATAGCCAAAAGGCATTGGTAACCCTCGTAGACATTCAGGTTTTCTTCAACATTTAAGTACCGGAGGGAGAGTCTCCTGATGAATGTGAAGCAAAAGTGAGCGAAATTCTCTCTAGCACTACAAAATCATTTAAAATGAAGCACATTAAAGCATTCCCTTTTCACAGATACTATACAGAAAAAAAGCCATATTTACGAATTTATACGAATAGCACTGGAGAAAGAAAGAAAGCCATTATAGCTGTCTAAGATAATAATTTTGAAACTGCTTCAGATGATTTATACTCATTCCATTGAAAGGTAGCTCGAGAAAACAGAATTCAACTCTCTGGGTGGTCTACAATAAACAAATATATATGTAAGAAAGGCAAGCGGACCAGTCCGCTCTGTTCACACGAATTCTATATGTCTATAAAAGATTTCTGCTTTGTAACTATGCCAATATTATGTCAAACCTGTATAGGTTCAAAGATATAAAAATAGAGGACATCGGCTTGATAATGCATATGAGTAAGAGCTCAAAGAAAAATTATATTCTGCCCTTAAATCTAAAGCAGAAATCAATGATCTTAGCGAAAAGTTAGTAGATAAGTATTCAGGAAGAGAAAAGGAGTTTAAGCAAATCTATGCTGATATCGGAAATAAGGTTAGTCAGATAAATGTGCTCAATACTGAGCTTATATCCAAATTCACTTCTGAACGGATGACCCATACTGAGCTCGAAGCCAAAATCAAATCGCTCAAATCAAAGATTAAAACATTGAAAAGAGAGGGAACTTTAGTCCAGAAAGCTTCGTCCGCTGACAAGATCAAGATTCTTTCTCTTAAAACTAAAATACGTGAATTAGAAGGTGAGTTAGATGACTTGGAACTAGAACAAGCATTTCATGATTCAGATGCAGTGGGAGGATTTTTAGAAGAGCTGATTCAAATAAACTCATCTGATCCTAAAGAGATCAATTCTCTTAGACTTGAATTGGAGCAAGTGAGAGATGATTTATCCTCGAAAAAATACAAAATAGAATGTATGGAAAAGGGAATAAAGTTCTTAAAAAACATATACAATCAGACAATAGATTCTTTATTTTCAGCATAGTTAAATTTAATAGAGGCAAATAGGTCCCTTAGGGAGCAGTTAGCGTTAAAGAAAAATAATGAAGTAGATCGTCCACCCCCGCCTATAAACAATTTATCTCAATTTGGTTCTAAAGAGACTCTTCCCAATCTTGACCTGACAATTTCTGTAGGTGGCGCAGAAGCGGTATCATTATCCCAAGAAATGCCTCTAGAGGGTCCTTCTAGAACTGCACCAGCTATTCCTACCATTGAAAGTTCCTTTATATTATATGCCATACTTATTTTATTTCTTCTTGTAGTTATATAGATTGTTGGAAAAAAAATATGGGATTCATGAAGCGATAAACTAAAAGAAAAAAGTAATACTCCTTCTTATCAGAACTATTTTTTATCATCTCCGGGTATTTTTAAGGCTGGCTTATATGATCAGAGGCCAGAAGTTCAAAGATAGAAATTGAAGTTAGCCAGTATTATTAGACGACCGAAGGAAGAAAAAAATATATGCGGACATAAATAATATTACGCAAGTTCTCTTAGCGAGGTGTGGTAATTTCGGCTAAGAATATTTAGCAATATAATTCAATGATATCATCTATATCTGCCTCAGACAAATCATCAAAATACCTAGAAAGTTTATTGTAAGCCTTTTATATATCGTTTAAGCCAGTTTTTTGCCTTTTTCTGGGAATAATCATCGATCTGTTTTTCCCTTTCATCCGTATCTTTGATTTGCGTAATTTTATTTGTCGGGTCTGATTGATAGCTATCATTCTCATTGATAAAGCATGCACACATTCCTACTGTTTGTTCTAAATAGTAGCCAATATCTATCTCCATGTTTTGCTCTTTTGCAATGAAAGCATATTCTATATAATCACCCTTTCTAGTTGATTTCGTGCCATCTTCTTTATAGCGGGATCCATCTTTCACTATAACGTAGTTAAATTGTTTACCAGAGTCAGGGATCTTTATACGAAGCGCCTCCTGGCTATTTTTTTCTCCGCTTTCTATCTTTTTTCTTATCCGCTCCATAAAGATTTTATTGCATGCGAGGCCACCTTTAGCCTTCCATTTAGACATTGCAATAAAATCGTTAAAATCCCATTGCTTATCTTTGGCTCCACTAAGAGTGTCTTCAACAATTCGATGAATTGAGCGTGTATTATTTATATCCATAGCTTCCTACATGATTTTGTCTCCGATAAATCTAAAGAGCTCAGAATTCCCTTGCTTTACAGTATCTATCCCTTTCTTGAAAAGGTTTTTTGGTTTAAAGTTTACTTCATCTTTATGCTCAATCCTAAAGTACTTCTTTTTGCTAGCAAAACATACGGGAAATAATACCTCTTCATATACTATCTTAAGACGAGATGAACCACTTTTTATTTCAAGATAGGCATTAACCTGATCGCGCAGCTTTTTC